TACAGAAAGACTGTGGAAGGGTTCTAGGAGTGGACAAGTAGTTTGGGGTGAACAGAACGCCTGGGACTGGACCTTGTAGCCAAGGGAGAATGGAGCCTAGCTAGGATTAAGGGTGGGAGATGGCCAGGGGCAGAATATGGCTGAGCATACAACAAAGGAAATTCAAGAGTGGTCAAAAAAATGTAAGAGAACCAAGAGAAAGCACTATGACCAAAACTCAGTGAAGAGAGTATCCATGGGGTAGTCAATAGAGATGACATGCTGGGTCAAGAAGGATAAGGATGGGCAAAGTAATGGCTGGACCTGCGGATGGCTGGGAAGGTAGATAGGAAGTTGAAAGTCTAAAACTGAAAATTGATTTTCATTCTTTTAAGACTTCATCAAGCTGGCACAGGTTTAATCTTTCCCCACAAGGTGTGAGTCTAAACTCCTTCTGCAAGTAACTTCATCCTTCACCCACATGGTGGAGAAAGTTGCCCAAAGGTCAAGCTTTTGTAATCAACTCTACCCTTTGCTCTGGTAGCCTCTGGAGTCTCAATTTTATTATTTTACTTTGTATCTCCACCCTGGTATTGCCTACCTTTATAACCTCAACCACCACCTTCTTAACTCAAATTCAAGTGGTGGAGACAATACCACTTGAATTTCTGTAAACTAATCCTATCACCAGAGGATTACTTCCATCTCCCAAGAAGAAGTAATAAGGAGGATCTGAGGTAACTTTTAACCCACCTCCTCATTAAAATGTCCACCAATCAGGAGTGTCTTACCATTGCCAGGAAAGGGAGGGGGGGTGTTGTCCAAATGATGTGCTGTGAGACACACTTAGGTTTAATGGACCCTGTCAGCCCTCACTCAGGGTCTTTGGTCATTGAGTTAAGGCCACTGACCTGATTTATTGGTTACTGCCAGCCTAACTAATGCAGCTAGGTGGCTCAGTGGATAGAGCACTAAGTTCAAATCTGTCTTCAGACACGAGCTGTGTAACCCTGAGCAGGTTATTTAATCTTGTTTGCCTCAGTTTCCTCTTCTGCAAAGTGAGTTGGAGAAGGAAATGGCAAACCACTCCAGGAACTTTGCTAAGAAAATCCCAAGTGGGGTCAAGAAGAGTTAGACAGAACTGAACAACAAGAAGAAGACTAATTAATAAACTGATCATGATCAGAACCATTGCCTCTCAGTTTACTTTAATTTTTCTAAATAGTATTCTATTTTTTCCAATTACATGTAAAGACAAATTTTAACATGCATCTTTTAAAAACTGTTGAGTTTTAAATTTTCTCTCTCCCTGCTTTATCTTCTCCCTCCCTAAGATGGTAAGCAATTTGATATTGGTTATATATGTGTAATCATGTAAAACATATTTCCCTATTAGTCACGTAGTGAAAGAAGAAACACACCAAAAGAAAAAAAAACACGAAAAAATAGTATGCTTCCATCTGCATTCAGACTTCATCAGTTCTTTGCATGGATGTAATTTTTTCCCCTCATGAGTCCTTTGGAATTGTCTTGGATTACTGTACTGCTGAGAATAAGTCATTCATAGTTGATAATTATACAATATTATTCTTACTGCATACAATATTTTCCTGGTTCTTCAGTTTATGTAAATCTTTCCACTTTACCTTAATTTTCAAACATAACAAAAGGAAGGAGGATGATTTGAGGCATGTATGAGTGGAAGGAAAGATGATCCTTCTTTTCTCTTTCTACACTACTTCACTTGGTGATATTAGCTCCAGTGGATTTCGTTACCATCTCTAGGTCCATGATTCTCAAATCTACCTATCCTGCCCCAAACACTCTGTCGACCTTCAATCTTGAATTCTCCAATTGCCTTTTAGACATCTTGAACTGAACTCAATATATCCAAAACAGAACCACCCTTTCCAAACTTACCTATTATTGTTAAGGAAAACATCATCGTCCCAGTCCCCCAGGCTTGAAACATAAGTGTCCTCCTCAACTCCTCACAATCTCTTAGAAACCTCAGTATCCAATCTGTTGCCAAGGTCTGTCAATTTTGACTTTGCAACATCTCTCCATTGTAGTCCTATCTATCCTCTGACACTGTTACCACCACCACCTCCTTGGTGCAACCTCTCATTCTCATCTTCACTTCCGGAATACTGCAATAGCCTGCTGGTGGGTCTGCCCCCCTGGAGTCTCTCCCTACTCCAATCCATCCTCCATTCAACTACCAAAGTGATTTTCCTAAAGTGTAGGTCCAACCAAGTCATCCCCTTACTCAATAAACTCCAATGGCTCCCTATCACCTTTAGGATCAAATAGAAAGTCTTCTATCAATCAAAGCCCTTTCATAATCTAACACCTCCTTTCCCTTCACTTTTACCACTGACAAAACTGCTAATATAATTGTTAATGTAATGACAGAGATTAATACCGATTGTACTAGGGATTCCTAGACCTCTTGGTCATCATGACAATGTCAAAATTCCAGTAATGTCCTTACATTCCTACTCTTAAAATAATGAGATTAGGTTGAGCTGACCCACATCCTAGGTTCACACAGGGAGGTTGCTTTGTTAGCCCCCTTCCATTGGCACTCATGGCACAAAGGGCAAAACAGCCAGAATGAAGGGGCTTTCCTTGTCTGGACTGCCACTGGGGTCTCATGACCAGACCTTGTTGACTCCTCCCCCTCTCTTCCTAAAACTATAAAAGTTTTTCCATGGGTCTCTTTGGTTGGGAAATCCGCTGGACATCCCAGACAGGTGTTTTGTTTTGTTTTTTGCTGCCCCATTATCTTAATTAAAGATGATTTATTCCTTAACTAACGGTTTTGATTTATTTCAGGACTTGACACCATATACTCTTCCTTCGGTCCAGTGGCACTGGCCTCCTTGCTCTTTCAGGAACAACAAAACACTCTCTCCTGAATATGGGTCTGGCTTTTTTCAAGATTCAACTAAAATGTACTTTTTTTTTGGTGAGGCAATTGGGGTTAAGTGACTTGCCCAGAGTCACACAGATAGTGAGTGTTATGTGTCTGAGGTCCAATTTGAATTCAGGTCCTCCAGTACCAGGGTCGGTACTCTATCCAGTACACCACTTAGCTGTGAGACAATTGGGGTTAAGTGACTTCCTCAGCGTCACACTGCTAATAAGTATTGAATGTCTGAGGCTAGATTTGAACTCAGGTCTTCCTGACTGACATATAGTACGCAGTTAATAAATGCTTATTGGTTGACTGTTTGGATGGACAAATGGATGAGTAGAGAGAAGGAAAGATGAATGGAGAGATGGATAAGTAGAGAAAAAGAAAGTTGGTGGCTGGTGGTGAGTGGAAGGAGATGAATAAGTGAGTGGAGGAAAGATAAGTGGATGGATGAGTGGAAGGAACGGGTAATGAGTGATGGGAAGGAGTGTTAAACTCAGCTGACTGAATCTGACCTTGTCCCCATTCCCAGACCCATGAATTTTGCCCAAGACTGACCAGACATTATCACTCTCAGCCCTGTGACTAATTTTTAAATACCCCAAACTCTCCCCTCCTGAGATTCCCAAACTTTCTCTGTGGGCTTTTGCTTGTTAAGCAAAATAACTTATCAGGTGAAACGTAGAAACGTCCCTAACCCCTCCCACCTGCAACCTGGCCATTCCCTCTGTCTTAGTTTCCTATATAAACTCTGTTCCCAGCCCCCTCCTTGGGTATCTCAGCTCTTGCTGTGCGGCATCTGGAGCTGCAAATCACTTGCAATGATTAAAGACCTCAATTTTGCTCTATTGGCTGTTTTCTCTGGAATTCAGGTTGACAGGAGATGGGAGAATGGATGAATGAGTGGAAGAAAGGGGAGATGGGTAAATGAATGGGTGAGTGGAGAGGGGAGAGTGAGTGGGTGGATGCGTGGAAGGAAGAAAGGGAAGATGGATGGGTGAATGGATAAGTGGAGGGAGATGGGTGAATAAACAGATGACTGGAGGAAAAAGGAGATGGGTGAATGTATGGGTGAGAGGTAGATGAGTGAAAGGAGGGAAGGAGAGATGGGTGAATAAATGGATAAGTGGAGGGAAGGGGAGATGGAAGGCTGAATGGAAGAGTGAATGGAGGGAAGTGAGATGGGTGTTTGAATGGAAGAGTGGGAGGGAGGGGAGATGGATGAATGAATGGATGAGTGGGAGGGAGGGGAGATGGGTGGCTGAATGGATGAGTGGAGGGAGGGGACAGCAAACGGGTGAATGAGCGGAGGCAGGGGCGGGCGGCTGGATGCGGCTTCCCTCTCAATGACCTTAGCGCGTAAAGGCTCCCGTGAAGGACAGAGCCTCTCTCGGGCAGGGCCCGCTTGGTCCGCCCCCGTGGGAGGGGGCGACTGGAAGGTCGGCCCTTCGCGGAGCCGCCAGGCGGAGGGAAGAAGCAGGAGGGGGCGGGGCGCTCGTTGGCCGGGTCGGCCGCTATGAGCAGCTGCCAGGCCTAGTCTGGAGAAGGCGCCTCGGCTGCAGCGTGGAAGCAGGAGAGGCGGGAGACCGAGGTGGGCGGGGAAGGAGGAACGCCTCCCCAACAGCATTCTGGGAATTATAGGCTTTCCCCGCGTGTGCCTTCAGCTTCTCTTCCTAGACGCCAGTGGCATGCTGGCGTTTGCTGGACCTTTGCATCTGAACTCTTTGGGAGTCTCACCTCGAAAACGGATGAGTTTGACAAACACCACTGGATATAAGAGATACTTTTGCTCCTCTTGTCGCCCTCCTCCCCTCAGGACTGAGACTACATTTCCCAGTTGTCTTGCGAGCAGGCTGCCTGGAGAGGTGGCGCGATGCACTGTGGATGTTGTAGTTCCCGTTTGATTCAGGCTTCCGCACCCCGGGCTATCCCGGTGCCCACGGCCGGACTACATTTCCCTTCAGTCCTCCCGATTCCCCTCGGCCGCCTTGGCGGAGACATTTGCGAACGGAGTGTCTCCAAGATGGCTGCTTGGGGAAGGAGGCGCCTTGGCCCGGGCAGCAGTGGCGGCAGTGCCCGAGAGAGGTGAGCCTGGGGGAGCCGCGGTTCCCCCTGGGCCAGTGGCGGAGGGAGTGGGAAACCAAAGGGAACGGAGCGGCGCTGCGGCAGCGGCCTCGGCGCCAGACTCTTCTCTCGTCCTCCCCTCAGTTCCGTGGGCTCCTCCTTCCCCACCGCCCACTCGGTCCCCCTGCCTGGCTTGCGAGGGGCGCGAGGAGAGAAGCCGGGGCGGGGGACCGGAGCTGCGAGGGCCGGCCTTGGGCACCTCCCGCGGGGTCCGGATTTCGCCGCCGTCGCGGCGGAGGGGTGGGCGGTGCTGGAGGGAAGTGTGGCCCAAGTCCGGGCTGCGGGGAGGACCCGACGGCAGGGCGCCAGCAGGCGGGCGCTGGGTCCCACCTGGGCCTTCGGGCCGGAGCCAAGTGTGGGTCCGGGCGCTGCCCCCTCCCGCCCATCCCCCACGTGGGGCTCGGAGGGGGCGTTCGGCGGGGGGCGTGCGTGTGAGTGCGCATGTGGGTCTGTTGGTCTGGGGGTGGGGAGGCCGGAGGAGAGGAAGCAGTAGTGACAGAAGCAGGTCAGCCGCGGGAAGGTCAGTGCGAGCGTGCACGTTTACCGGGCCAGGCCCTTTCCAGATGTGGATCCCGCGAGGACAGAGGTGCCGCCACCCCCACCCGGGCCGAGGCTTCTTAGGACTTGGCTGGGGCGCCCTTGCAAGCAGTCCTTCCAAGTGACCTTTTCCTACCCTCCCGGGGCTCTGGTCGGCAAGCAGAAATGCGTTTCCTTAGGTCGGGGGAAACTGGTTTTTGCCTCTAGAAATGTCTCTCTTAGCAACGGATCCAGAAGGACCTTTCCTACTCTGGGTGCTTGGTTAATGGAGCAGTTAAAAAACTATCAATGTGTGTGTGTGTGTGTGTGTGTGTGTGTGTGTGTGTGTGTGTGTGTGTGTGTGTGTGTGTGTGTGTGTGTGTGTGTGTGTTACAGAAAAGACATGTGTCTCATGCGAATTTGCTAGCCCGATTGGGGTAACATGACAGGAAAGGAGAGGAGATATTGCTTGGGTTGCTTTAAAGTTACGTTGAAAAAGAAGAGGGTGGAGAGGTGGAAGATTCTGTCTCCAATTTTTTTTGCTCCCTCATCACTGAAGTGGGATGTTATGTTGCTGTTCTGACATTGTTTGCTGGTACTTTTAAAATAGGCTAAGTCAAAGAGCTATTTTGATAGTTTCCAGATGGTATTAGAAATCGAAATACTCAGATCCCCTGTACTTGTGTAACATGCATCAGTTTAGAAAACTTAAAGAAATCAGTGGAAGAATTACACACTCAGTAAATAGGTGCAAGTGATAGAAAATACTGTGTGAGGTGCTGTGTTGCATCTTCCATGGTCTGGATTTTAAACCCTTGACTGATCCCTAGAAGCATCCCCAAAATGCTGTAGAGAATGATTTGTTCCTTTGAATAACTAAGTCAAGAATCTAGGAAAGAACCCATTCAAACCAGAATAATAACAGAGTAATATATGCCTCCTAGAAGCAGGGCATTTGATTTTCTGGTTTCATTTAGTGCCTTTCTCCTTCCTCCAGTGTAACTTCTTTTGACTGAAGGTTACCTATTCGTTTTCCTTGTAAACTTAGCTAGGTTTTGTTAGGGTAGTAGCTCACCGGATCTCAGCTTCCCTAAAGATCCACTTCCCACTCATGAAGCAGAAGGTGGAAACATAACACTGCCATTTAGATCTAGCTTGTCAGCTGTTTTTTGTGGCACACCTACAGATCTTGCTTGGCTGGTGGGAAGACTACTCTTCCGAAGGGCAGGGTAGATTAATTGATTACACACCACCATAAATTATAATGGCTGCATGTTATTGGGTCTTATGACTGAAGTAGACTGTTTATGGCACTTTTAAATGACTTTGTTCCATATCCGGTTTGCACTGATTAAAATTACAGTTCTAAATTTCTCATTCGCTTTTAAAACCATTTGCTGTGTTTACCTGACTGGCATCTGGTTTGTGGTGGAATTCTGAAGAAACAAACATTGTCTAGTGTGTGGGGCATGGAAACGGGGAAAACTTTATGCTGTAACTAGTAGTTGCAAACAGTGAAGTTTGTTTTAGAATGGAAGGGCTGTACTTTCCATATATGGTAGCACCGTTAGAGATTCTGTACATCTGACATAGTACACCTAAGAGAAGCTATTTAAGCCACATTTACAATGGCTGTAGATTCTGATATAGAGGGTAATAGAGGGGTAGAAATAGTGAAATGATAGCTATTTGCATGTTGCTTTGTTCTCCATTCTAGTGGGACTCTTAATAATTCCTTCTTACATATTCCATTAAATCTAGGGATTCAACTATGTTTATTATGAAGAACAGCAGACTCTGAGCTGTAACCTGAATTCTTGTCTAAAATTCAGCACACTGGCTGCAAGAGCACCAAACAGAATGCCACTTGTTCCATCGGAGTCTTTGAGACAAACTTGCACACCTAGGACAGAACAGTGCAGGTATCTGTGTTCTGCAATACATGGGCCAACTTGGAACAGATCACAGCTCTACTTTCCCTATGTTTGCTGCTTAGACTTACACAGGGGCCTTAAGAGTTTGCTTCCATCAGTGATGGTTTGAATGTGAGTATAGTCATTTGTTTGGGGTTCCTTCTTTATAGTTGACAGAAAATGGATTTTCTTTGCACTCTGTTTTTTGCTGCTATTGCAGCTACTACTTATGAGCCTTCAAAGGCCAATAGTGTCATAGGTTTGTAGGTAAATGGGGCTCCAGGGTGGTTTCAATTTTTATTTTTCCAGGGTTAAAGTAATTTCCTTGCTAAGCCAGAGGTGCCTCTTAAAAAAAAATTCACAATATACACTCTCCACTGCCTTAGGATTCCATGTTATAGAAGCATCCTTTAGGAAGCAAGGATTTGGATTGGGACTGCTTTCAAGTCTTTCAGATTCACACCTTACTTAGCTGGAACGTGGCTTCTTCAGTGGAGTCCACAGATTGACTCAAACCTATCTTTGATTTGACTTGGGTTTTGATGGTGAAATGGTAGTTTTAGGTTGGTACTCATGTTGAATATGTTGGCCATTAAATTGAAGGACTTTAAGAACACTAGAACCACATTGGGAGGTCCTAGGAAAGTTGGCTCCGGCTCCTCTGTTAGTGTACTGCTGTCCTGATTGGCATCTTTTATTGTAGATTTGTAGATTTTAAAGCAGGAAGGCACCTTTGAGATCTCTAGCCTGGCAGCTCTTCAGAAAGACTCTTGAACTTCTATAAGTGGCTTTGTGGTAGAACTTTTTCCATGATTGATTTGGAAAAGACCACCAAGTATATTTTTTGCTCATGACTATAGAGGATTAAATCCCAAGCCTTTAGACGTTTGAAAAGTCTGTGTGGTGTTCTGCTCAGCAAAGCAAACAAAGGATAGATTCATCCTTCACTGAAGTAGGCACCCAGTTGCTGTATTCAGATTCCTGGAGTTGGATGTGTCGGTTAGGGTATGCTTGGGTTCATTTTAGTTCAAGGTTGGAATTGAGGTGCCTTACCAGTTTGTGAGATGAAAAATTTATCTTAATTCATTCTGACAAACTGCTGCTGAGTGTAAAACATTTGTTTCCGGTGAGTATGTCCAGTATCTAACCAGAAAAATCATAATGCTTTTTTATGTATAATCAGAAATGGGAATGGTCACCTGATTGCTGTTTTGAGGCTCAGGAAGCTGAAAATTAAAGAAATGAAGAACCTGGACATTAGAGGTCAGGCTTCACTTAGTTTATAACCAGTTGGCTTATATGAAGGCCTTGTTCTTTAGTCAACAAATTGAAATAATTTTTAAAAAGAATGAGTAAAAGAAAAAGGGTGGAGCCTCCCCTTTTAGGAGATGTTCTGGTGATAAATTCCCACTTGCCTTATGACATCTCCTTCCAGTTTCACATGTGATATATTAGCCAGCAGAGGTTTATTTATTTGTGACATCCTAATAATATTACTTAAGTCTATATGTGCCTAGAGCGGAAAGGTCATGGCCAAAAGAAGTCATAGTCCCTAGTTCTTGGGAACTAATAGTCCCTCCCCAGACCGACCAGAGCTTGGAGTTCTCTGGAATATTACCAATGTACAGCACTCTGACATTCCCTCCTCCCAGTTCCCTTCATTTCCCAACATCTGCTCATGTTTCAGTAGCATGTAAGTTGCCATGCATGTTTTCGTCACAGCAGTTGCCAATGGAAAGAACAGGAAGATATTTTCCTGTACCCTTGTTTCCTTTAAAGGGTGGAAGTTTGGGGTATATGGAGTAATGTAACGGTTGCTAGGAATTTTTGAATTGTTAATATTTTGGGCTTTATAACACACAACTTCCTGCCTTGGTGGTACATAATAGAAACTGACTCCTAGTCTCTAATTTTTCAGGACATCAGTTGATAGTAACATTGCTGTCAGTAATGTTTTATTCACGTTACAAGCATATTTCATTTACGTAGTAGATGTTTGCAAATACTTGAGTTCTATTTGCTTGGGTATATTGGGTCCTTGGGGAGTTTGCAGGGTGGGGAAAAGATTTTTGCCCTGAAGCTTACAATTAATAGTATAGATGAATTGGACAAAAGTCATGTGCCACAGACACTTGTGTGCAAAGAAACTCAGGGCTACATCTACAGGTATCTCTCCCTTACCTTTACATAAATTACATACATTGTAGGTTATCTCGGGGAAATTTTCATTTCCAAGTTAGCACTGCCCTAAGCCCAATTCTACTAAGTCACTTAACTGCCCCATTATTTGAATTGGACTCATAGTAATTATAGTTAGTGTTCAGGAAATGCAAAAGGATTTCAGAATTAACCAGCTATTGTTGGGAACTGTACAAAGTGTTTGAAAGCTGTTTGTATATGCACATGTAAATTACTCTCATCTCCACTTCTGTCAGTAATGGAGAAAATTAAGAATTAACAACATTCAGTAACAGAAATGAATTCAATTGTGTCCACCTTCTGTTTTGTCCATAAAGACTACATGAAAGAGGTTAAATTGAATTCAATTTTAAAAGGCATCAAGGTGGAGCAGGGAAGCTGTGTGAAAGAAAGGTGAAATGACAAAGATAACACAGGCCTGTCTCCAAAAGTGTTTTTTGATTGATCTGACTCAGTCAACTGGTGAAGGATGACGTTCTTGATAGGTGTTTGGTTTCTGTTAATGGACATTTCTACATTTGTATTTATGGTAAGTGGTTGTTAAATAAGAACAGGAAATGGGAGGGGGGGGAAGGTGAATAAGGGTGCTCGTGTGTATTTTAGTTAAATGTTGATTCTTAATACACATTTAATATCTGCAGTGAAAATCATTTGAGAATATCTAAACCAGAGGTGGGGAACCTGTGGCCTTAAGGCCACATGTGGCCCTATAGGTCCTCAAGTGCAGCCTTTTGAATGAATCCAAACTTCACAGAACAGATCCTGATGCCTTAATGAAAAAAACAAATATAAAACTTTGACTCGGTGAAAAGGCCGAACCCAAGGACTGGAAGGCCATGTGTGGTCTTTGGAGGCCGAAGGTTTGCCACCCCAGAACTGTTAAAGATGGTTGGTGGTTTTTTTTTTTGTCAGAGAAACCTAAAGCCCCCAAAGATACAAGCTTTTTATTTGCCACTTTCCAGAACCAAGATATGCTTATTGCAAAATGTTACATGTTTTATTGCAAACTAGTGATTGGTTTGGGAGGAAGTTGGCCAGTGGTGCTTGGAAAGCATAAAGCAATGTTTTAACTACATCTTGATTTTGTTTGGCGATTCATTTAAAATATGTGAGTTTTAGAAGAGTAATGTGTAATGTTGGGTGATGGCTAGAAATTAGAAATAGCTTCCTCAGTGGACCAGTGGAACTATTTCATTTCTTAACTAAAGCAGGATAAAAAATTATCAGCAGTTCAAAGCTGAACCAACAAACAGCATGATCTTGGCAGCCTTTACAATCCTAATGATCCATGTTAATAGTGGCAGAGAATTTTAAAAATGTAGGCTTAATGAGTGGTTACATGCACTGTCTACTCTGATCTAAATTAGTTCTGACAGATAATTTGTTCTCTTTGGTTTTAATATGTTGACTTATTTTTACTTATCCACTATAAAATTCTGAAAGCCAGTTGATTGACCAAATGGTGCCTACTACCAGAAAGGAGATAGGGACACAAAGACAAAAATAAAGCAGTCTGCCCAAAAGGATTCCTCAGTGGGGGTAAGGGTGGCAAGGGTTGCAGCATGGTGGACACATGGAAGTAGATAGAAAGTATATACAAAGCAATACAGAGTAATTTCAAGAGATAGAAATCACTAACAGTTATTGGGGATTAGGAAAAATCTCCATTAGGAGGTGTGATCTGAGTTGTGCTTGGAGGCAGAGGTGAGGAGAATGTGTCCAAGAAAGGCAAAAGATTAACAATGTCCTGTGGAGGGAAGAGCTTGTGTGCCAATAAACCTACAGAATCAATCACAGAACTTCTGGGGGTCTGGAGGGCTTTATGAGCCTGGTGACAAATATGTTTGCCTTTTTGTGGACTAGCCAAAGGGGATTTGGTGTAGTACATCTCTGGAGGAGAGGCAGCATATGAAATCTCTTCCTTCTCAGGCAAGTCTAGGTTAATTCTCAGCAGGTATGATTAGACAGCTCTTTTCAGGTCCCCATGTGGTGTTGCCGTTGCCTGTCATGCCCTAAGCCCTGCTGCTTGGGCTGAGTCCTCTTGGGGCATCTCTCAGCTATTTACCCTCCAAGTGGCTGGTGTCATGTGTTGGGCAGCTTCCTCCACTGAGCTGCATCTTCCTTGACTTTGGAGTTTTCTTTCTTTTCAAGTAGAAGCAGCAATAAGCTAGAGACATATTAAATAAGACAACCAGGATGACAAGGACCTTGACCATGGCATATTAGAATTGGTTGAAGAATTTAGTGATAATTGACCTTGAGAAAAGATGGGGTTGGGGGGCCAAACTGATAACTGTCTTCAAGTTTTTGAAAGGCAGTCAGGTCAAAGAGGGATTGGGTGGTAACATTGCAAAAGTGGAATAGGTTGCCCTCAGGAGGTAAGAGTTCTTCCTTTGACTGGACATTATTCTGGGTTTTGTGACTTCTTCCACCTCTGAGATTCTGTGACCATTTATTTTGAATATACCTTATTCAGTTTTAAAACTGCATTGTTGATGCTTTTGCACATGTTATAAGTCCCACCTTTGGTTCTGTGCAAACAGTGATCACATTTTGCTAGCAGTGGATTCCCTAATGCTTTTGAGGGACTCAGGAAGAAGACATGATGGCAGGAGACAACTATTTGTCTTGAAATACTAAATTTGTTTTTGAAGTATTTAATTATACTATACACACACACATGGAAATTGGATTTTCCTTCTCTAGTAATTTTTATTTGCCTGTAACTAGAATGCCAAGGACTACACAATTTTGTATGTATATGTATAGAATATGTATTCTACATCTGTATAGAATGTAGCTTTCCTATA